TCTGCACGGTGACAAGCGAAGGTCTGTGGTCTATGACCTTAAACTTGGTTGCACCAAAGTATCTCTTGAGGCTTGGATTTGGTTTGCCCAAGATTTTCCGGCGTTGTCACTAACAGTTGTTCTCCAGTAACCAGAGAAGCTGAAATGGTTTGGGAGCAGGACCCAGCCAAAAGCGTTGGGTTTTTTAATGGAGTTGTGTTGTACCTGCACCTTCTAACCCGCCCATTCGCCACACACACCTGAAAGCAGAACAGCAAATTTCCTGGGGTTTCCCTGTGTGGTCGTAGGTTATGATCTTCAGCTGCCAGAAAGCTGCAGAAGTTGGAAAAAGACTGCGGGCCCCAAAATACCAACGCTCATTTGTCTTTCCTCCTGCCGCCTTTTGTAGGAGGTTCTTGGGAAACTGTGCCACCCAGACATATTTTTCTCTCGTGTCCCTCGCTGTGCCGCTGCTTTCTGCTGCCCTGTGCTCTTGGCAACCCCACTGCGTTTCAGGACTGGGTAACACCTCTGTCGTTCTCTAGCATTGTTTTGTCTGATTTGCATTTGAGCTGGTTTGGTGGGTTGTTTTTTTTTTAAAAAAAAAAAAGCCATGAGGCTCTGCTAATTGAGTATAGAAATGTGGCTGTAACACCAATATTTCAGGAACGATCTGTTAACGATACATTATCCCTTTGGCTCTAGATGTCTTGGCAAGGCACAAAGCCGGTTGTGCAATTGTCACGTTGCAGCGTGCAGTTGGAACGTGGAGTCACTTGCTCTCTGGATAAGGAGCTGCTCTTCACGAACAACTGGTTTAATGGGAGGAACTGTGGTGCGAGCTCTTGGGTTGGCAGCCATTACTGGCACGCGAGCCCTTGGCGGCAAGGTTTGGCAGAGGGGTTTCAAAAATTGGGGAAGCCCGACGGAGCGGGGGGCAGTGGCTCTGGCGTGGGGCAGCAGCGCGTGGCTTTGTCCTTAGGGAGGGTCTCCTGCTGCGGAGGTGCCTGGAAACATCTCCCACAGCACCTAGGCTTGTGCTGCTGCCGCCTGGATTTGGTACGGGGATTTTCAGTGCAGGGTGATGTATGCAAATTTTAATTATTTTTTTTTTGGCTGGGAATAGCATTTTCAAGGACGTGTCTGTGTGGCTGAGGTGGTGGTGGTGGCACCCTCCCCTCGGATTGAGATGCTTGCTGCAGCTCTGTGGGCTCTCAAGACTCTCCTTCTGCTCCTTTGCCCTGTGTCCACCTTCACCCGCCTCCTCCTTCCCCAACACCCATATTATTTCTTTCCCTCTGCCACGGTCCCTTATTTTCTTCTTCCATCCTGGGTGTGGAAGGTGGCACCAGCCGTGTTTCCAGCTGGATCTGGTCACCAATGAAGGCAGGCAAACCTCACCTTGAACAGGCTTACGTAGGGCTAGAGCTCATCCATGTATAATACCACAATCATTTGGGTGTTCTGGGGGCGGATGACGTCCGACCGGGCGGCCAGCACCCCAGCCTGCGTGCGCAGCCGGGCGAGAAGGCTGCCGGTGGCTGACGTTGCCATCATCCGGTCTTAGACTCATCCAGCGGGTTTGTCCAGGAGTTTGGATTCGGGTCTGAGTGCCTGAGTGCAGAACTGGCAGCGTGGGTTTGAATAGTTGTGTGCATCTTGCATCACGCTTTGATTATTTAATTATGTTGGAATAACAACTCACTCCCGGTTGTGCAGCACAGCTTCATGTTGCAGTTGTTTCTGAAGGGCTGCGAGCCCTGGTTTTGGAAGATCCTTTCATGAATGAGCCCCTGGAGCCCTGGAAGCCCGCCCGTCTCCTCGGGGTAGCTCGGGCAGCGTCCAAAGGCAGAGCAGATGAGGGGCCCTGGGGAGCTCGCTGCGCGAGACGGACCGGGTGCGCCGCTTCAGCCGAGGTAACCCTGGGCGCATCTCTGCCTGCTGCATCGGAGAAGCTACAAAGCCAGGTGATTTGGCCTTCTGTGGGGCGGCATACCCATTGCTGTCACACTGCGGATGTTTGTGCGGTGCTTTCGGTTTGAGGCCGATGCCTGGATACTGTGAGGTGGTGTGAAAAGGCTGTAATTAGCGTTTCGGGGCTCGTTGTGGTGACGCTGGCGGTGTTTCGTAGTTGTTCTCTTTCCACGCAGCTGTGTTGTGGAAGGTGGGATGTCGGGTGCCTGTCCCTGCATCCTTAGGGTGAAACCGTCGAGGGTTTCCTCAACAGCCATTTGTTTCTCCAGGCTGAGGAGCGGGTGAGACTGTCTCCCAGGAAGCTGGCTGTTGCAGCACCTTGTTTTTATCTGGAGAAAAAAAGAAGTGGCGGTGCTGTAGGGCAGGATCAGCCAGTCTTCTCCAGGGCAGAGCAGGAAGCTGCTCCTGTCCCTGTATGGCTCTTCTTTGGTTGAACTTCAGCAGCCAACTGGCTGAACTTTGGATTTGTCTGTGTAGGGGCTGTGTCTGTATTTTACTCAGTAGGAGGGATGCTGCAGGCACGCGTGGATAATGGAGTTAGGGGAGATGAGAGTGCCCAGACAAGCGCTTTGGTTGGATGGAGGCAACCGGTGGCTTTTGGGGGTGGGAGATGTTCATCGTGTCCCTGACTTTCATCTTAATAGTCCTTTTGCTTTAAGCAGAAAATTAAGAAATTTGAGTGCTGTAGTGACACCTACGCAGGCTACGTAAAATTACCTCAATTTGGTTTTTAAATGACACCTGCTACAATATCACTTCTCTAAAAGTTTTAAATAAAAGAAACACTGCTGTGGTCAGTGGCAGTGCGTTTCTGCTCTTATGGGAGACTGGAAGGACCCTAATCCAAAAAGGGAAAATCCTCTGTCTGTGTGTTGAGTGCCTGTGGTCTCTTAAGTGCAGCGCGACGATACACTGAACGGGTCCTGATGAAATGTGTGTCTGGTTGCGTTTTCCAGAACACTTTATAGCAGACAGCATGGAAGGCCTCCGTTAATGAGGGTCTGAAACCCGCGGGGTGACTCTGCTCCCTGCTCTGGATGAGGCCGGCGTGCCGCCGCCAAGGCTCCGCTCCTAAAGGTGCTTCCTGGGAACCTGGCTGGAAATGAAGCAGAGGGTCAGGCTGCTTATTTCAGTGCCCGTAGCTGCTTTACTCTCTAGCCAAGCTTCACGTTTCCCAAAGGGGATACAGAAACCCCTTTGTCTTTGGAGGGCGCTGGCATGGCGCGTGGCTGCAGAACACGCGGACACCGGAAGGTTGCAGCCTGTGCTGCCGGAGGGTGGAAGGTGAGCTCTCGAACCTGCGTCCTGGTTTTGTGGGGAGCTGAAACAGCCCTGGAAATTCAATGAGGCCTGAGAGCTGCTTCAGCATTGCAGTCGGCGAGTTGGCCCTCTTGTTTGTGTGCCAGCTCGTTCTGGTTCAATGCAAGGGGTTTCAGACCTGTTGGGCTGCGATCCAGCACTTCAGAAATGCCATTTTTATCCCTCCTCTTCGGGAACTGCTGTGTGTTGTTGTTGGGGGGTTTTTTTTTTTAAACATCTAGCAACTGCACAAGGAAAGAGCGTGTGTACTTCGGATCAAACAGCCAGTCAGCCTCAGGAGGTGCCTGTGAGCAGAATGAAATCCGTTGCTTTGACAAAAATGCGCGAGACCCTCTGCATCACGCGTGCCAAGCAGCTCCAGTGGATTTCGTGGAGAGGGAGATGTTGGGAAGGTAACTCGTGTGCGTAACACGTGGGGCCTGGCTGCTTCATGGCATTCGGTGCGTGCCAGCTGTAATTCTCCCCGCGATTTGGCAGCGTCTCTTTGGATCAGGAACGCCACCTCCCCAGGGAAGCTTAGCAACAGTTCCTGCCAGGCCTCCGGTTCTCCTCCCGTAACCCCCTTACCATCACCACGGGGAGGCTTTCGGGAGGCTTTTCTCTCTGAGGATTTTGTGCAAGGCGGGTGGGTTGCGTTCTCTTTGTGCCTTGGAAAATCCCCTCTGAAAGGGGGTTTTCCCTGGAAACATTCAAGGCCAGGGTTGGACGGGGCTGTGAGCAACCTGATGTAGTTCAAGGTGTCCCTGCTCCTGCAGGGGGGTTGGGCTGGGTGACCTCTAGGGGTCCCTTCCCACCCAAACCATTCTATGATTCTAAGTGCATTGTAGCCTGTATTTCAGTAATTTGGGCAGTTCTTATGTTGTTGAGCAAGCAGCGGAACTGCAGTCTCCCCAGCTGTTGTGCTGTTGGAATTTCAGGGTGTGCTGTCATAAAAAAAAAAAACCAAACCCCAAAAGATCAGGTGCTGTGCTGGAAGAAATACAGTACTTGGCACATAACCAAAGTCTGAAATGACAGTTTTCCAGCTGGAACTTGATGCAAGCTTGAAACTAAACTGGACTATAAAATATAATTGGAAATATTTGTGGAAATCTTGCTGTTGTAGCCATGATGATCCTTATTCTTTAAAAAAGGGGAGGGGGCAAAAAGGGAAAAAAGAAAGGAAAAGGGGGGAAAAATGGCATTTGAGGAAATAATATTTTAGCAGTGGTTACTTTTGGGTTTTTGTCTGCCAGTTTTGGGCATAAACTTTCTCCTGTAGATCCGACGGACTTCAGTTCTGTAACAGCAAATTCTTGTCCTTTTTGAATTCCAGTGAAATAATTAAATGTAACCGATGCAGACAGAATGGGATGATTGTAAATCACGTAATCCAGAAGTGAAGATCCTCCCTGTTAGTGTTGCACAGCTGGTGGTTGTGGTGTATGGATGGCGTGTGACTACGAGGAGCTACGTTTTTTCACGAGAAAAGTGGAAATAAGTTTACAAAAGGCTGTTTCTGTGGCTGCGGCTAACTTATTTTAGTTAGGGAAGGAGAATGTTGTCTGTACCTCTAATAAATTGACTTATTTTCTTGTTTGCCCTACGGGGGTAAACAGGAAAGGACCAGCGTTTAAAAGTGCTGCTGCCTGGCAAGTTGTTCCGTGTGGGGTGTGAACCTGACGTGGTTTGTGGCGAGGGGACCCGTGTGGGTGCCGGGTGCCTGTGGGTGAGGAGGGCTGCAGAGCTGTTGGGGGAGCTGTGCTGCTTGGCTGACCGTGCAGTGATATGTTTTTGGGAACGGGGGAGAGAACACAAGCCTCTTACTAGGCTGGTTCTTGGGGTCTGCCTGTTGCAAATCAGGAATTGCATCTGAGAAACGTTACGGAGCCTTAAGCGTGTCTGGGTTCGGAGGAGCACGTACACCCTCTGCGCTTCCCTACCATAACGTGGAAAAAGAACGCTTTATATAAAAACCATACTTGGCCAGCGCTATGGGTTTTCATGCTGCATTGAAGGCTTTTCTGTATGAAGATCTTCTCGTCTGGCATCCAAGTCATTTTTCCACATGATTTTGGGGCGGATGTGCTGTGGCTGGTTTGATCTGGGTACGCTGCTGTGAACTGCTGTGTGTTGCACTGTGCCAGACTGAAGCTGCAGGTCGTGGGGCTGGTCCCACCGGACCCCGTCTGGGGAGAGGATGGAGGGAGGTCCTGCAGCCTTCGGCCGCTTGAGTACCTTCACTGCCATGTGTCTGGGACTCTTCTCCACTTCTCGCCAGCGTGGACTTTGGCCGTAGCTCCTCGAGCATGGTCTGTGGCCATCCCACCTTGGAAACCAAGAAGCCGCCTACCTCCTTAATGAAAACGGGGCCCGTAGGGATGTCCTGCTCCCTAGGGCTTGCCTGGGAGAGGAGTTGGCCGTGAGGACAGCTTTGGTTGTGATCCGGTTTAAGACTAGAGATTTTGGCAGGAGGTGGCTCTGGAGTCTTCATCCAAGATTTTCATGTTTTCAGGATGAAAACCACGTCGGATCTGTTCTGAATGCTGAAGCAGCCTCTGTGATGGAAACCACCTGCGTTGTTCTGGCTGTTTCACTCTGGGGCATGTGTTGATCACACTCTTCCCATTTGCGTTGGGAAGGCTGGGTGAATGGAGTGGCATCTCGCTGTATGTTGTTGGAGGCTTGCTGAGCCGAGGATGGCCTGTAGGTGCTTTGGAGTCATCGCTGACCGGCTACACGGGTACCTTTTAAAACCAAGGCTCTATCCCAGCTGATACTCCTGTGCAGCGACGTGCTGGTCAACCAGCTTCACCGTTCTGGATTTCCAAAGAGGGCAGCGATGGCAGAGAAGCTGCCGGTTGTTTAAATGTGCATGTACCCGGGGATTAGGAGCAGCATGCCCAGTGTTTGTGCAAGCAGCGACTGCCAAAACTCCTCTCACAAATACCAGTTTTAGGAGGTTGTACAAGGCCTTTACCAAGGTACGTGCCTCCTGGGTACTGATGGGGAAAACGCGTTGCAAATTAGTGTAGAGGTTGGGGTGGAACAGCTCTGCTCTGCCTTGATTGCCGTCTGGGTCACGAGGTCTTTCTCTTTGCAAGACGTAGCACTGTGGTCTCATGGGATCTGCTAGAAAGAAATAGGGATTTCTTCAGTGACCTGAACAGCTCAAAGCCATTAAAACTTCTTGCATTGTAAGTGCGAAGTGTTTTGATGCTTATCGCGTGGAAAACGCCAGGAGGTCTTCGGCTCCTTGTTCTCCTCCCTCCTGTCCCTCCCCCAGGAAAACTAGCACAAAAAAATCCACCCGCTCTGCCCTCTCGAGTTCTGCTTCCCTAAAGTCTTCCGACCGGCTCTGTGTAGCTGACCTGAGCTGTGGAAATCCCTGGTAAGGCAGGAGACATGGGCTGCTTTTTTCTAGAAATCCCTCTTATGTAAAGCATCTGCAGCAGCAAACCGTTTATTTAATCGGTGGTGGATCGTTGTGGGGGAGCTTTAATAAATGAAATACTGGAGCATCTTGCTTCTGGAGATGGGCTTTTTCTGGCAAGGATCTGTGATTCTGTTAACAACGCGCCCAGAGACAAGGTTTTATTCAGAAGCCCAGCAGCGTTACTGGCGAGCTGAGGATGAAATCAGCTGCGATTGAGGTTTGCCTCCGCTTGGGTTTTGTGCTGGACTGGGCCGAGTGGCGTAAGCCGTGGGGAATGGATTATTCAGGAAGAGGTGATACTAATGGGGACTCAATGTCATCAGCTGTAGGTGTCTGTGTGCATCCCGGGATGAATCTGGTAATGTGCTGTTATCAGCCCAAGGTACAGAAGTGCCAGGGAAACCTGGAATGTCTCCGGATCCGTATGCTGCTTTCTGGCGTTCCCTGGTGAAACGCGATGGCGCGCATTACCTGGCTGGAAGGATGTCAGTCTGGAGCATGGAATATCATCTCCCTGGGGGTCTTGTGAGTCTCCCTGGGGGCACAAAGAACAACAGAAGAACCCCAAACAAGCCCTACAACAATTCCCGTCTCTGTGGTCGGCTCTGTTGGTAGACTTCCCAGTTTCTCTAAAGCCGCGTATTGTTCCAGGCCCGCCTGGCCGTGCAGCCCTTGCCCAATGCAAACAGCTCGCCCCGTGTTTGTTTGCCTTTGCTCAAGCGGCCCCTCTTGCGCCGGGGCCGGGGGGGCTCCGTGCCGCCGGCTCCAGCCCGAGAGGGACAGCTTCTCCCTGTCCCTGCTCCTGAGCTGGCGCTGGGCTGGGGGAGCTCTGGAGCCACCCGGGCACCCCGGGGAGGGAGCTGTCATCTACGGGGAGCGGAGGGGAATGGGAGAAGCGGAGCGATGCTCAAGGGTGAAGCAGTTGCCTGCTCTTCAGAGGAGAAAGAGGAGCGGACAGCGAGGAGCGAGCGTTGGTAAACCAACGCTTTTATGAGCCTACGCTTAAAATGAAAGGTATGCTGATAATCTTAATTGAGCCACTAAACCCTGCTGTCAGGGGATTTATCTGCTGCTTAGGAAGCCAAGCCATGGCTAAGAGCAACATGTTTTATGTATTGAAAGAACATTTCCTTTGTCCCTGGAGATATTTGTATGTCACATACCGCAGGAACTGAAAGGTGGTGTGAAAATCCTCTCTGTTATCAGCTCGCCTGTCGGTGTAGCTTCATCTGTACGGAAGGGGAGACTGGTTGTAGCCCCTTCAGACAGCACGGAGAATTGGAGGAAGGAATGGGGTAGGAAAATACCGTTGTCTCTTCTATAAAGCTACAAAATTATAATTTCAAGGGTTCCACCGGTATCTGAACCCTGATTTGTTTTCAGATGAGGGCTGAAAACCTTGGACCTCTTCTGGGAATGCCTCCAACTTTGTATGCGCTCCGGTTTGATTGTTGGGGTTTTTTTTTGCAGTTAAAGACAACATAACAATTGTTTTGTTTGGGTTTTGGGTTTGGTGGTTGTTTGCTTTTGTGATGTGTTTGGTTTTTTAAGATCAATGCCCAGCCCTCTCGCAATTCACTTGCAGTCGGTCTGTCCAGCCCGTGCCTGGCAGGGTTCCATGCTTCGTGGGCTGGGATACGATGAAGTCCCAACCCGCTCACTTAGCTGGCCAGTGCACTGAAGTTTCTCTCTTGCGGTGTGATCTCCTCTGCTCTGGATGAGAAACCCTGGGTTTGTTGTTGGTTTTTTTCCTTTTCAGGGCAAGGTGATGCTCTGGAGTGATGATGTTGCAACAAAGCCTTGCTCTGCTGCCTCCAAGCAGGTACCTGGCGGATTGGCATCAGGGCTAAATGAGACTTCCCCCCCCCACACACCTCTCCTTTCCTTCGGTTTTTCCAGTTACAGTTGGTTTATTCTATGTTTTTCCTTATTTATGTGCCATTGGATCTGGTAATTATGGGAAGGGATGTGCTTGCCCTCATGAATACACGCTGTGGGGATGGGGAGGAAGAAGTGCCCTAAACTGCCAAAGCTCAGCTCAGATCTGCTGGTCTCTGAAGAAAGCACAGTCTTGTGATCCGGGCTCTGGTTTTTCATGTGGAATAGCCGCTAGGTGGTAAGCTCGCTCCTTCCCCGTGGCAACGACACTCATGAAGGCGGTCAGGATTACTCCCTGCTCCTTTTAAAGTTTTATTCGCCCGGTGCGATGTCTTTGTGGGGCTGGTGGAGCCGGAGCAGAGCCTTCTGCCTGCTGGGGGGGTTAAAAATGCTGCAGGAATTTTTACCACACTCTGACTCGGGAAGCGTTGGACCTGCGTGCCGGAAGGGCTGCTCCGAGCTCCCGCGTCGCTGGCCAGGGGCTCGGTGGCGCCGGTGCCACGGCTCGCTTGTCCCGCTCCTCTGGTGGCTGCCTCTGCAGAGAGGAAGGGGTGGCACTAGGACGGGTGCTGCGGTGGCACTAGGACGGGTGCTGCAGTGGCACTAGGACGGGTGCTGCGGCGAGGCTGGGGGAGCGGATTTGCTGGGTGTGCAGGTGATGTGGAAGCGTGGAACGGGGAGAAGAGCCTGCGAGGGTCTGGTGTCGACTGAAGAGCGCTGCGAGGGCTGAAGGCTGCATCCCGGCAGAGGCTGGGGCTGGGCTTGCTCCGCAGGATGGCAGCGGGGTGCTCTGGCTTCCTGGTGGCGCGTGCTGTCATCTGAGTCACTTCCAGGCATCACGGGGCTGACCCCGTCAGGTTTTGCTTCGTTGCTTCCCTTTACTTGAGGGCGATGGGAAAAAACAGGACGGACGGACGGACGGAGGCAGAGGAGGTGAATGGGAGCAGCGGGAGGAGGATGGCTTCTCGCTCGCACAGGCGCTGGGTGCACCAGGAGCCTTTCGGTACGTACGCCTGCCGCCCCTGACCTGTAGGAAAGGAGCAGCCGGCAAAGTATTGCAGTAAATTAACAACATAGAACAGGGATTTTTTTTTTTCTTTTGTTTTTTTTTTTGTGCACGTGGTTTAGCGTGCAAAGGCATTGCTTGCCCGTAGAGGGAGTGTTCTTGTAAGAAAGCACGACTTAAACCTGGATCTTCAGGGGCTGCTTTAGGACTTGGGGGGAGAAGCGAGCACTAAATTACGGCTTCTGTGTCCCTCTTGTGCTGTGTACGTGCTGGGTGCTACCTGGTCTCTGCTGTGACTGGAAGGTGGTGTGCTTGTTGGCCTGGCTCTGGGTTTTTAAGCTGTAAATGAGAACAAACTTGAGGATGGATTGGGGGAAGCAGGAGGTGACGCTGCCCCAATTTTCAAACAGGGACTTGTGGTGCCTGTGCTGGCAGCGTTGTGCCTCGATCGGCTGAGGGACTCGGCCACTGGCAGGGCTACAAATTTATGCTTTTAGAGCAAAGCTGACATGTGAATGCAGATGTATTCCCCCTCCCCCCGTATATATGCACGCATACAGTCTTATTGCAAAATACCTGTAAAACTGCCACGCTGCAGATGAGCCCTGTGACACTCAAGCACAGAGTTGTGTTCCTTCTCTGCTGGGGTGAACCGCGCCATCCCTGCCTCCTGGCTGGGAGCTGGCATCTACCGTGCTCCCTGGGAGCAGCTTACTGGAGGTGCACCACAGCACTTCAGTAAAATTTAATTATTGTTAGCTGGCAAATGATAGCTTTGGGTTCCTCCATTTCCCTTGCCTTCGGTTCTCCGTGCACGCTGATGGAATTCCACAGCCTGGGCTGTCTCCATGCTTTGAGTGTGCTAAAAGCGTGCGGCAGCTCACAGGCCTTCCTGAACACCCAGTTCCCCTCGGCCAGTGCTCAGCACTTTCTTTACAGGTGTATTCTGCATCAGTTTAATGAGTAAACAGGGCTTAAAACTTAAGTAACATAGTGTTCCACAGCGCGCGGCTCAGCGAAGAGCCCGGTGCGTCACTTCGCATGGTGCCAAGACTTTTTTGTGTGTGGTGTGGTGGCTGCTTTTTTGCAAAAGGAAGTGCTTTCTGCCGAGTGTGTAATTCACGCTGTTTGCAAATGCTGGCTGGCTTTTTCCCTTCCTGAAATAAGGCTGAGCTGCATATTTGGTTCCTCTGTAATTCTCTTGAAAAATATGTACGTTTGCAAGAGAAAAGCGAACGCGGCTGGTCTTCTCGTTGAGATGAAAAGACTCCCACTTTCAGGTTGCAAGAGCTATTTTTGAGGCTGAGACCTGAACTTTTTTCCAGTTTGGTCTATTATTATGTTTTTAGAGCTTGTAGCTTTAGATTTTGTAGCTTCCATGCCATCCTAGAGAAGAGGGAGGGGAGATGGCCAGTCTTGGGTTGTGGTCTGGCACGGGCAGCTCCGTGAGCTGGCTGGGTCTGGCAGCAGGTTGGGGTACTTAATTAGGATTATTTACAAATTTTAATAGCACGCTTCCAGATTGCGTTCTGCAGCTTCATGTGCAGGTGGTTAAGGATAATTGTTCGCTTGTGTTGTTTTGATAGCTTGCCTCCATCTCGGAGAAGGACAGGCCGGTGAGCCTGGCACATCTGGCGAGCATCGCAGCTGCGTTTCTGCTGCGAGGATCCCTCCTCCGTGGTGGCTTTGCGTGGTGCTCTGGCAGGAAATGCAAGGATGCCGTGGGAGGGGAAATGGTAAAAAAAAAAAAAAAAAAAAAAAAGTCCTTGCAAACCTGTTGAGAGCACGTGGTGATTATTCAGAAAACACATCAGCGGATGTCGCTTGCCTTGTCTAACGTAGGGTCGGCCTGGGTCATTTTTTACCTGCCGATAGAGTGGGTTTCTACGTGCTCTGTCTGGCAGTGGTCAGCAGGTAGACACTGATTCACGGTCTTGGTGGGAATTACAAGGGAGAAAAGGGAAGTAACTTGAGAGGCTTTTTAGACTAAGAACTTAGAAGTAGAATTGGTTTTCTATAGAGAAAGACCTCATCAGAGGCATTCAGGCTGTGTTTGAGATCCTAGTTGCAGAAGTCGGTGTCGACTTGCGCACGATTATCAAGAGACTTGGCATGATGCTTCTCAAAACGATCCCAGTCCCACCGCCAGCGGAGCTGTGATGCACCCAAGTGAAAGCCGTGGCGATGGTGACGCGGGACAGTGCCCCTGGGCTGTGGCAGCTGAGACAGGGGCTGTGTCTAGCTTTTGGGGTGGTTGCTTGCGGTTTGTTGGTCTCCTTGCCTTCATTAAGCCTGTCTCGTGGCTGGCAGCCAGTTACTCAAAATCCAGTTTGAGCCCTTTTCCAGTGGGCGGTGGTTTGAAGAGTAGAGGATATGTGTGTAGGATCCCTTATTATGGAAGGATTTTCCTCCATGAGGCTTAGCTTGGGTGTGCAAAGTTTAGTTCTAAACCTGTTTTCTTTTAAGAACCTGGCCCCCCTAATGCTGCTGTGTTTGTGTGTCTGTCCGGTTGAGTTCAGATGCCCTACTGGGAGTTGGTATTTGTTCCTGGCATGTGGCAACATGGAATCTGGTGCAAGAGCTTTGCTTGGAGTTGTGAACATCCAGTTTTGTCCTGTTCTAGCCCAAACTTGGGGAGGTATCGCTGCATTTCTCCTTCATGTGGGCAGAGCGGTGCAGCCTCCCGGTCCTCAGGACAACGCGTCAAGTGGGCGTCAGTCCGGTTGGCTTAGAAAATGAGTCTTCACGCTTGCGCTCTAAAAATTTTCCCTTTGCTCCCAGGTTTGGAAGCTCTGGCCATGGACCAGAAAGGCTATCGGCGGGGGAGCTTCCAGAGCAGCACTAGCGACGAAGATATGCTGGAAATAGCAGGAGCATCTCTGGACTTCTCCATGGCAGACGATGACCCGCCACTCGACAGGGAGATGGGAGGTAACACCCATGCGTCTCTTTGCTCTCCGTTTTTCTTAATGGCTTTCAGTAGGATTTCATGATAATATTTTCTTTACGGGTGCCGCTGGCCTCTGCCGAAGGTGGGAGTCGGTCGTTTCATGGCACCCATATGGGTAGATTGCAGGATTCCGCGCTGCACTGCGTCCGTGAACAGACTTCTGCAGCACAGCTGAGCGCTTGCTCACGTGCCACGTTTGGCTCCCAGCATCGCTTTGTCACAGAGGCTGGCGGGAGGCGTGTGTTCCGTGCAAAGCAGAAAATCTCCTTAAAATAAATGGTAATTGCAGTGTGAGTGACTGTGTTGTGGTGGGGAGGCCCTGCTTGTCTGTCTCCAGCCACCGAGCTGCCTGATCCCAGGCTGTGTGCATCCAGTACCCTGTCAGAGGGGCAGACTGCTCTCTTAGCCACCACCCCACTTACTTTGCTTTTAAATGTAGCGTATTCCTCTCCCACCGCTTTGCTTTCAGGGCTTCTGGATTGTCCTTTCTGGAGATTTCAGAAATAGCTGCTGTAGGGAAGAGCTGGCTGTGCCACGAGGGAGGTGTCGTGAGTGCGATGGGCAGGGATGACAGCGCAGAGCGATTCCTAGGGGGTTGTGATACGAGCAGAGACTCCCCCCCTCCCCTTCTTCCTTACCTATAATTTTAAAGGTTCTCCATTGTGGAGAGAACCTCACAATGTAATGGCACAAAGGGGTTTGGTGCTGAGCTTGCGCACAGCCTGAGACTTGGGCTTCCCCTGCCACCCCTCGTCTGTCCAGAGAGCGTCTGGTGCTGCCTCCTCTGGTCTGAGCCTGAGGTTGTGGAATTAATGGGGGAGGGATGAATCTCTATGGGTTTGCTGAGCTTTGGCGCCAGACCGGCAAGATCTGCCTGATTTTTGTCTTCCGTGAATTACCGTAAGTTAGTTTAAAAGCAAAAATACTTAATTTTGGACAGCAGACTGCAAGTCTCCATGAGTTCCCATAGACCTTCTCGTCCTCTTCTTCCCCCGGCCCTGTTTGCTGCAGGGCAAAAATTAAAAAGAAATCCTTCTGGTTTTGCTTCTCAGCTATGTGGTCTGCCTCCAGGTAGTGCGAATGTAGACAGACTTCCTCAAACGTCGCCTGCCAGTGGCTGAAACAACCAGCGCTTCTGCTGCTGGGGATCCTCTACGGAGCATGTGATTGCTTTCTGCTTGGCTTGGTCCCTCCCACCGCTTTCAGGCTCGAGCACAGGAAGGATCACAGCGTTTTTGTAGCGGTTGCATTAACCGAGTGATAAGCATTGGTTTGTGGTTTAGAAACCCTCTGTCCGCACGCAAAGGGGACGCGCACAAGACTTGCATCCCGGGTGTGTTGTTCCCTGGGCTCTGGCCAGCACGGAGGAGGGTGGCTGGGGCGTAGGGGGCAGCCGCGGTACAGGCGTTGGGCAGCGTGCTCGCTCCGAGCTGACCTCGTGCTGGGAGTGACCTTTAGATCTGGGCACCTCTGGGAGTCCGCTTCGAAACTCCCTGCACGGAGCTTCAAATAATGACTTGTGACTGCACTTCCTCCTGAAGATCTATTCATTACTAGTCTGTGCGGAATTAGGTACATAGAAATAATCGCGTTGGGCATGTTGGTAATGGAATTGTGAATTCAGGTTCTCTTACCTGCTGGTGAGAGTCATTGGGGTATCAGCTGTCTGAAGTTAAATGCGTGCTTGTGTTTTAACGGTTAAGGAGCTGAATTTTTGAACTTCTTGTAAGGAAATCATTATTCTACGGCGCTTAGAAGCTCGAGCTGACCTGAAACAACACTCGGTTGTTTCCCTCCCTGCTTAAATAGGCTTTTCCCATCTCCGCTCAGCGTTTGAAGGCCTGTGGCTACTTCTGTGTTAAAAGCTCAGGGATGGGAGCCCTCCCCGGTGCGGTGGATGTCCCTTCGGCCGAGAGGGCGTGTGTGGCTTGGCGTGATGGTAGTGGTCACCTGGGAGGGCTGCCCTAAACCTGGTGGCAGGTTCCCCTGTGAAAGAGGCTCTTTCTGTCGGCGGGATGCTTAAGTCTGCAGGCAGGTTGACACAGAAGTAAAAGAGGAAATTTAAAAGGGGAAACAGTTGTCCACCCAAATACTGGTTTCAGTTCCCTCTACAAACTTCCCCTGCTGACTTCAGGCCATATTTGCTGGCAAGTGTTTGGGTGCCAGATGTGCAACCTGAAGATGTGGTGGCACAGGCTTGACTGGAGCTGGAGTGACTGATGGTGGAGCTGGCTGCAGACCTCTGGCTGGGACCTGCTGCTTTTGCTGTCTGGTGTGTTGTTGGATGGGCGTGAGTAGGTGGCACTTTTTGGAACCAGAGCCCAGCCCTCTCTCGCCACCTTCTCCAAGACTGTCAAGCTCTCCTGCAAGAGTGATGGCATCTCAAGTTGAAAAACCAGCCACAACCGGAGCTTATGGGTCCTGTCAAGTGACCAGAGGAGGAAGGGTCACCTGCTGCTCGATAGGTTTGTAAATCTGGAGTGTGTTTGGCAGCCGGTGCTCCTCCGAGCTTTCCTGATGAGCCCTTGCCTAATGAGTGACTGGAACACAGGATGCTTGTGTTGAAAAATCCCTTCATGTA